ATATATATATATATATATATATATATATATTAAAATCCATACAGTGAAGAGAATGGAAGAGTGGATGAGGAGCGGATCTAGTGCTGGCCTATTACAAGCATACTGAGGTTCCTACACCAACCGCTCAATCAGACAATCTGGAGAGAAACTGACAGCACGAACGCCACTGACCGATTAGCCGCCATTTCTTGCAACGTCTCCAGCCAAGCACAGACTGGGTCACGGGGGACCCCATCCTGGAAGTCGCACAACACCGACAACACCCAAACTCTTCGTGGTCTCTTTCACGCCTTTCTACCAAGTCATGTGCTGTCCACCTCGCGGTTTTCGCCATCCTGAAGGGAGCGCGGAGAACACTCGCCTCGGTAGATGGACCTCTAACCTGGAGCGCCAAGAGACTGTATTGGTCAGAACTACAAACATTGACCAACTTGGTATTGGAATGCGAGCGTCGCTTTCGTCCTTCACCTTCTATCCTGGTTGTCTGACTGAGTGCTGGAGTTATAGGCACATGAAGTGTTTATCGTAGGGTAGGCCTAGGTCCCCCCTCCATCTCTTTTCTCTCTCTTCCTTATCAGGCTTCATTGAAATAAAATGACGTGGCTGTACAAAACTGAATCACTCTTTTCTGGGGCTATTGTCAATAGAGTAACGGCACATAACATGCTGAACTTTTTTCCTGATACGAAGCTCCCGCACATCTTTTTTCTTCTCTTCTGTAGCTATCTGGAGCGGCGTGCTTTCATTAACCGGACTGAGGAGCGCGAATACGCCTTGTTAAAATCCCAGACAAGTCGGAAGACGTGACTGTGGCACAAAAGTCGGACTCTCCATTAAACGTTAACTGTTCCTATGGCTACCCTTTCTGATACCACTATACAGGACGGTCAGTCCTATCTGTACCATTCGACGGATATTCCCCCCGACGAATAAGAGAAGAATGATAGCGTTTTCTATGTTGTGCTACTCGGATGGGGAAGTTATATGGGGAGTGACAGGGAGTTCATACTTCGGGTTCAAAGGTGTAGTGTTCGTCCTTTTTGCAAAATGGGAACTGTTTCGCCTTCTGGAAAGGATAAAAGGAGAGTTAATCAGAATGACATTCCAAAATGCTGACAGTCGTCAAAAGTTTAGCGTATGATGTGACAATTTACATATCTCTCTCACTCTAGAGATAGCTCAACGGTTAGGGCGCGAACTTACTGACTAGAAGGTCCGTGGTTCAAATCCGACCTCTGCATCTCGACTGTTCCCCTCTAAGTTGTGCTCCCCTGGAGTGGCGCGGCAGATAGGCACCGAAGGGGTGTTACAGCTTAACGACTATCATCGGTGATCATTAACGATCTCTCGCTCCAACTGCTCTACAATAGTTCACCAACTTATGCTGTATCTAAAACACGAACAGAAAATCTAACTCATTAATGCATCTCAATCTGTTTGAAGCTTATCTTGTGAGCCTAACGCAGTTGGTCATGGATTGATGCACTCGGTTCCAGAATCCAAAGAACCTAACAAAATGGCCCACTTTTCGCTGTTTTTTTCCGAAGTACTCAATCGATATTAAGCCAACTCCATACAGCGTTATTCGCATGTTGTCCCAGTATACGCTCCAATTAACAATATGCATGATGCGGCTAGCCGACTAAGTACTGAAGGAACACGTAGAATGCCTCGTCGGAATAATGACGGGTGATTTTTTCGGTTACGTTGTGAACATCGACTGTCTTCAGTTGATACGATCTTTGGGAACTAATATACAAACAAATCATCATAATTAGCAGTAATTCACACTGGTTCTTAACTGCTATTTGCAACGTGTAACTTGGATATTGAGCACTTCAAACCAGTCAGGGACTTAGGCCGCGCAGTCATCTGTTACGGGTGGATAGCTGCAATCCAATGTCACTTTTTACATTGTGAGCACATCGATTCTGGTCATGTCAATATGAGAACACGCATACAAGTTCGCCTCTCCTCTCCTCTAAATGACCATCTTCAGGGTTTTTGTAGCCCAGCACTAAAGACAACCATTGGACTGATATTTTATTCGCATTCGTTTGTCAAATTTAACTACGCCGATTGGCCCCCTCATGACATACGTGGTTTACACCGAGCTGCATGTACAACCGTATGGATAAACCTCACCCAGCCTAAACCCGGGGGCGGACGATTAGCACGTCTCGCTGATGGCTCGTGACTGTCGAACCGTACAGGGACGAATGAACAGTTGACGTCTATAGTATAAGGTAGCACGATGGACCACATCACTCATAACGCGCACTTGCATCAGACGTGGCCAGGTGGTGTGTCAACAGTTAGCTTAATCAGTATAAAAGCGGTCAGGGAAAGTCACTTCAAGCACTTGTGGGCTTGGCACTCACTCACAGATCCGAAAAGAGACAAGTTAACGGTTGAGCCGAATATTACTACTGGTGTACTCCTGTCGATAACTATTCGGGCAAACTGGTGACCTGTTAATAATGAGCTAATCAGTTGACTAAGTAATGATAACCCAAACCCTGGAGTACTGTGGCCAGCCATAGTTTAATTTGCTAGAATAAGTGGTTCGGGCGAGATGTCTCAAGTAGTTAGAGCGCTAATTCACTGCCCGGAAGGTCCGTAGTTCGAACCTGACGTCTGTCTCTCGACTTACCCTATCTAGGCTTGGGCAACCTGGCAATATCCCAGCCCTCAGGTAGCATGGCAGCTAGGCACCGAAAGGGTGCTACAGCTAAAGGATTAGGCTATACGGCTAGTTGCGGAAAGTCACTTCTGCCCGGAAGGTAGTTCGAACCTGACGTCTGTCTCTCGACTTACCCTATCTAGGCTTGGGCAACCTGGCAATATCCCAGCCCTCAGGTAGCATGGCAGCTAGGCACCGAAAGGGTGCTACAGCTAAAGGATTAGGCTATACGGCTAGTTGCGGAAAGTCACTTCTAATGCCGTTGCCGGTTTAGCTGTGTGGTGTCCTAAAAGAACCAAGACAGGTTCGGTAAAATCACAGTAATAACCAATGGACCGCTTTATGATGATGACCAATCAGTCCAATGTGTGGGGCGAGATGGTTCATTGGTTGGAGCACGAGCTTACCGACCGGAAGGTCCGTGGTTCGAACCCGACCTCTGCCTCTCGACTTCCCCTGTCTGGGCTTGGGCAACCTGCCAGCATCCCAGCCCTCGTGCTTTCTTCTGGTGGCATGGCAGTTCGGCACTGGAAGGATGCTACAGCTGAACAGTTTTTCAAAGTGATCAGTGTGAACGTGACTGCAGTGGTTGCAAACCCAATTCGTTGTCACTTAACACGAGGATCGTCCTACACAGTGGCTGTAAGGTATAGATCAGAGAAAATAAGCACAAGGCTGCAACCCTGTTCTACGTCATTCACATTGGTTTCAAACCTGGCTAAAATCGATTCACTACTTTCACTCCGTTAAGAAGGCACCGTGCAAGATTCGCAAATTTTGGCGGGTGGTCGTGGTGAGACAAAACTGCTCAGGGCAATGCTCAACGAAATCGAAAAATGGATTCTTCTGGAAGCTGACATGCGGTGAACATCAATTCCATTGTGCTACGACCAGGTTGGAGACCACACTATTCCTTTGCAGAAGTAACTTCAGCAGAACCTGGTCGCACAGCTCCGTGAGCTGACGCACTGTAGTCATCGGGTGGATCCTTACTTCAATCTCCTTCACAAAGTTCCACAATTAAATCATTCTCGAATTCTGGTGGAATTTCAGCCTGAAAAGTGCGCTCTGTAAGGTTAGGTCGCTTCAAGCACTTTACCGCATCTTAGCGCGCATTTCGCGGTTATATCTTTGGATGTATAGTTGCAGGGAGGCTCATCGACTTTTCCAGTTCTTCTCAATAAAGCCTTCATGGCAGTCTAGTCGTTTAGTCCATGTCCTCAGATACCGCGGTAATCTAAATCGTTTAGACGGAAAAGTAGAGAATCCAGCAAACTTACTGCTAACCATAGGGAAGGGGAGTATCACCGATAGGGTGGTGATATTAAGATTTAATCTTCCAAAAGTGCCAGTGTCTAAAAACTGAAGTTGCATCCGTCTAACCGCAAGGTTCATGGTCTCTGCAATTGCCCTGTAGAAGTTTATCGACCACCGTCAGAGCGCGAATCAAGCTGATTTTCACATTAATTGGTTGCAACTTTCATTTGATAAAGGTACTAAGACAGTGCCCCCTTTGTGCCAAAAGACCAGCTATAATAGCCTTAAAGTGATACTTGCTTCTGACACCACAGATCTACAGGATTCCTGCTGCTGTTTGGTGATCAAATCTATCCATTTCAAATTACCGCACCTTACGAAACCACTGCACGTCCAACCCTGCGAAAACGTACGAGTACGCCTCTCTGTTGACATGTCGCTTCAAAACAGCTGCGATAGCTCTGTGATCGTGTTCCTCCCCATCCACCGGAGTGCTCGGTCGCACACTTGATACACTGAATATCCAATAGTAGAATCGGATCATCCAGGAATATGTAACTTGACATACATTTCAAACCGCAGAATGCGAAGAGTTACTCCAAAACCGGGTAAAGTCAGGACCACACCTTAGGATTGCTGATCAACCAATTGACGTAACGGATGAATAGACGCAGGGTAGATGAGTAGTCTAGGTGAGAAGCACAGTTTAGTTTGGCTTTTCAGCTGAAAAAACCCGTACTGTAGTAATGCTTCCAGCTTCCACAGCTTATTTCAGCGAGGATGGCCCAATCTGTGCACTCACGACAAGTGGGTCTGTCAGTCCCGTGTGGCAGGAGAGCTATGCTGTGGATGATAGCTTTGTTGAAGGACCACCATTGGTTGTGTGACAGCCATATCTATCAGGGTCACCAACCATTGGGTTGTTTGTCCCACGGTACCCATCCCGGGAGGCGGCAGTCAACAACGCCACTCAGTTGACTGGTAATGATCTTCATACTTTATTGGCAAATGACGGACTGACCGCCTCTGTGTCGTCTCCATCGACACAAGTCCGGCTGAGGGAAACCCTATGAAGCGAACGGCTCTCTGGCATACAATTTACACTGTCTGACCAGAGTAACTTGTGGTGTGTGATCACTGATCTATGAAAAGTGTGTATGGACTTTCCCGAGAACCATCTGGCGTACCTCTGTATTACTGACCTGATGTCCCCATCAGACCCGCGTAACACTTCGGAGGCACCGACAGTCAAACACAGAAAACGTTTGAAGGTCTTTCACAGGCAACAGCCACGTCTCTGACTGCAACATAGTACACTCTACCTTTGACAGTCAAGCGGATGTCACGTTGACGCCACAAATGTCGGAGGTGAGCAAACGATGGCCTGGCCTTCCCAATTCTGGAAGTAACTTCGCCTTTCCCCAATCCACCGGGATGTGTGCAGCTACCCAAATACACAAACACATACACACAAACACATACATAAACATAAGTTCACTTGTAAGCATGAGGTTTAGGTTTAATCCCATCCAATCGTTTGGCAGCAGTTTATAGTTTAGATGTGCGAAAAGCATCCAGAACTGTGCAGCAGAATTATTTAGGTTATTTGAGATGGTTTTCATTTCTGAAGGGTCTAATCCAAGAAGAGTGATGTCGTCGGCGTACTTAATATCCACGAATATCCATGAATTTTTCGATATTCCAGGCATTAGAGGCAGGTAAAGAAGACTCAAGTGTACATCGATTAAGAAGTCAATCAGAAACGGTGACAGAAGATAACCTTGTCTGTCACCACTCCATATGGAGCGCGGAACCAAAAGCAGCTTTCAGATCAAGAAAAACTACCATTGTCGGCCGTCCGAATGGTGCAGTTCCAACACTTACTGCAAGGTGAAGATATGATCGATGCGACCCCTCTAGGATGGAATCCATCCTCACCAATCTGACTCTCCCGATGATGGATAAACCTGCATAGGCTAGTACCAGAGAGCACCTTGGAAGCAATGGCCATTAAACTGATGCCTCGTGGTTTTCACACGATGTTCTTGCACCCTTTTTAAACAAGGGAATCACCGTTGAGGAGTTCCATTCTGTTAGTATTCTTTGAATATTCTGAATATTTTCGGACTAAAGTCGTCAAGTTGGCCACGAAGTACTACCTGTCGACGTTGAGGAGTGAAGGATAGATTATATGAGCCAGGTGGCTTGGTACACTGAAGCAATAAAATTACACACTGGACTTCCTTGGTCAATTGGAGGCTGATTTTGACGTTCCAGTAGAGTTCATATGGTTCTCTCAAAGTTGGGTTGATGGGAATCAGCTGACCTGTTCTTCAACGTGTTTAGACCATCTTTCAAGAAAACGTTTCTGTTAGTGAATTGAGGTCCCATTTTTTCAGATGGAAAGCAGAAAATCAAATCAAATCGGTAAAGCCGTGGCAATGGAGTGACAACAATTTTTTTCATGGAGCGCAAGACATTCGGCGGGTGTAAACCCGTTGGTTTATGGAACAGAGTAGCTGCGCGCAGATGCATGAAAACTCCTGGCGCTTGTGTTTTTATATCACCAAAGCATTGTCCGAACGTGTTTAAAACAGGTATTCTCCAGATAAACGGTCCAGCAGGACCGAAAAGCTGTTTGATTTACGGATTTTTGTGCTTTTTTCGCTTCAGAGAGGTATGGTAAACAATCCGTGGATTTATTGCTGGGCTTTTGTTTTTTGATGACGCGTTACTATTGAATTGTGAGGGACTGCTGGGTGAGCTCTAATTACGCTTCAGGCCGGTACTGTCGGATGGGCACGTCAGGGCTTTTTCCATCACGGGTCACAGGCTGGACCGGTCAGGACTGGTGTGATGTCTGCCTGAGATCAGTGTGCTGACTTCCACTAACTAGTTAGACGTAAAGGCGAGATATTCCTAAGGGGACATCCCACACTCATGAATATCATGGTTCACCGAACGGAGGTCCTTTGTTGAAGGATTTGACGGTAAATGGAGTACCGATGGGTAGGTGAAGCGTCTGTTAGTTGGTCATGCCTGTCCAGGCTGTTAACCTAGATGGACCCCTAATTTTCACTACTGCAAGAGCAGATAGGAGAATCTTGAAGACTCTGCGGAAATAGAATGATCGATGCTCCAGTTTACTGTATGGCTAAATGGTTATATTTGCATCTCCTTCATAAAAGCTGTACAGCTGTGGCTTTGTCCACCTACGGCATGCTTTCGGTCTATGGCTGCCATATGAACGAAGGAAGCACCAGAACTGAGATATACAGCCCGGCTGCCCAAGCCTGAGCAGGAGCGACGAAAAAGCCGGAGTCAGGATAAAACCAGAGACCTTCTGGTCAATAATTTCGCACCTTAGCCGCTGAGCTATCTCAAGCTTTTGCAAGAACTTGGATATCTATAGATGGACCGAATTTGTTGACAGATGAAAGTCCTATTGAACAATTAAGTTCACAAAGCTGCAGAGAGCTCAAGTAAGCCATCTTTATAAAACGGAGAGAGAGAGTGCAGTAGTCCATCACACACCAGCTTACACACATCCTTCTTACCTCCGGCTGAAAAAACGAGTAAGGTTCCAAAAGGAGAGCAAATCCACCAACTAATATCGGTGGGAGGAGGAACTTGAAGAATACCCACCACCTATGAATGGCGGTATTAAATGAATAGAGAAACATACATAGGTTGGCCATAGTGATGCACTTCCTGAAAGTCGGGATCTGCGCCAGCTTCGGAATAGAATTCCCAATAGAAGGGCACAGGCTCATTGTAGTTCCGTTTCACCGGATAATAGTCGTAATGTTCCCAAGGATCCCTATTAGCTTCGTTAAAATTCTTCATATCCGGGTAGTCACCAGGAGCATAGCCGTCGTCTTCGAATGGTTGATAATCGGTCAAAAGAAGTCCATATCGCTTTGCTGCTGCCTCACGTTGTGCTGCAGTGCATGGATATGGAGCAGGCTTCCACTCAATGTTCCAATCTAGGGAATATGAAGAAGACGTAAAAAATTAAACAGTCCCACTTGCCTAGGAAAATTTCATGATACCCTGGACATGTATTTTATACGATACGGTTGGTAAAAGGCACCGTCCACTAAAAGATAACAATGAACCTTCTCCTGACCACGCTGTCGGTAAGCAGCTCTATCGGTATGCATTCGATAAAATAGTAGTCGTTCAGCTGTAACGGCTTCTAGCCTCCATACCACCCGAAGGAAGCACAAGGGCTTGTATAGTGCCAGGCTACCGAAGCCTAGATAGGGCCAGTCGAAATATCGGGGTCCGGTTCGAACCACGGACCATCTGGCTGGTAAGTTCGCATTTTAATCACTAGGCTGTCTCAAGCTCTGTGCGTGCATTCACCAGTTCTCAGTTCCTAACGGTCGCAGTTTATCTTTCTGTCTTTGAATACGGCCAGTAAAAAACAGATGACCTGTGGTCAATGAGACTATCCAGAATCACTGTGCACACATTCACCAGTTCTCAGTTCCTAACGGTCGCAGTTTATCTTTCTGTCTTTGAATACGGCCAGTAAAAAACAGATGACCTGTGGTCAATGAGACTATCCAGAATCACAGTGCTTCACCGGTCCACACTAAGAAAGCGTTATTGGATATTTTTAGGTGAATGTGTCGGCGCGACTCGCCTCCCATGATGGGGTCCGCCTGATACCCAGTGTGCTGCGAGAAATAATAGCGGTAACAATAATAGTGATTATAACAATAATAATCGTTAACGACATGGGGCTTCTTCGCACTAAGTTCCTACTCTTCGCCGTTGTTTCAACTCTTTACTAATACTTCTCGCAGTTAAGTACCGGTATGTATTTCTGGTTTACTGCTGTCAATAATGATTGCATGCGTCATGGGTTCCGGTTCGTCGCCATGCCAGAAAGCGTCCTCAGTAGAATGCAATCAACCTGCTGGGGCTCCCCCTTCGATCAAATAAACCGTATTAAGTATGCAAAAAGGCTTTATTCATCACTATCTTAAGGTCTGCCACTGAACTCTGGTTGTTGCTCACGAACGCACCTCGTCGACGTAACCGCCAATCCTGTATCCTCAAACTTCTTAACATAGTGCCGTGGCTCCCGCTGTCACTCAAAGGACTACAAATCCCAGCGCATACAAGCTTCGCATTAGTTGTCACTCCAGGCCTTGGAACTGCGATACCGCCTCTCGATCAACAAATGCAACACAAACAGAGCAAAAACAAAAAGGATTATAAGATGCCACCATATAACATGTGCGGTTTGAATAACAATAACCTGATTCATCTATTCTTGTCCTTTAGCATCCCCTCCTCATAGAGTCCCAAATGTATGTACGTGGCCATTCACTTACTTTCTATTCCCAACCCTGTCATTGTGCCAAAATTTTCATTAAAAGTGTAGCCCATTCCCCTACGCCCGCTCTTCTCTATCAACCTTCCGACCGCCCGTCTCAGTTTCCAGGCTTCGTTGGCCTGGAAACTTACTTACATGTATTTATCGGCCATCCCACGTGGTTCCAACCTGACCTCTGCCCCTCGACTACCTCTATCTAGGCCTGGGCAACCTGGCAGTATCCCAACCCTCATGCAACCTTCGGGTGGCATAGCGGCTAAGCACCAAAAGGGTGCTACAGCTGAACGATTCCAACGTGATGCGTCTTGGCTTTTCTTGTTGGATTTTGAGTATGTACTTCGAGCTGCTCCTATTCCGAAATCTTTAGGCTCATGTTTCCTCCCCACACAAAATCTTGCAGAAAGGAAGAACATGCTTTTTACTGCCACCAACCACCCTGAGCAGCTCATCTCCCTTCCACCCTATGACCATGACAGCAGCGTTGCTTAGGTTCCACTCGTGTACGGCAGTGAAGCATCGATGTTAACACTGATGTCATGCTGTCAATGATAGTGGTGATGATGATGACCCCACTTACCTGGATTCGGTGCAAGCTACTGCTTCCCATAGATTCATGTGGTTTTCGTAGTAATTTCTTGTATCCGCCTATTCGTCAGAAACCTGCTTCCCCTTTCCGCAATGTTCACGGTTCGAAACCAATCTCCGCATCTCTACTACTCCTGTCTAGGCTTTTCACGGTTCGAATCTCCGCATCTCTACTACTCCTGTCTAGGCTTTGGTAACCTGGTAGTAACTAAGCTCTCGTGCCTCATCCCCGTGTAATGGCAGCTAGACACCGGAAAGGTGTTACAGCTGAACGATCATGAGTCACTGGTCCCGTGTATGGTCCCCAAAGAAAGCCCTGAAAATCGTTCAGCTGTAACACCCTTTTGGTGCTTTGATGCCATGCCACCCAAAGGAAGTACGAGGACTGCGATTCTGTCAGGTTGCCCAAGCCTAGACAGGGGAAGTCGAGAGGTAGATTTCGGGTTCGAACCACGGACCTTCCGGTCAGTAAATTCGCGCTCTAACCATTGAGCCATCTCGCCCTAATGAACAATGTATCTTTGGTCAGGCTTATGAGTCAAAGGCTGAAGGATGAATAACTCAGCTAAACCCTCTTCTTTGGCCTGGGCAACCGGGAAATACCATCTGTCCGCAGAGTTCTTTGTGCACCCCTCATCAGCCTTCAGCCCCAGAGCTGAAAGAGTTCTACTGAAATGGATTAAAGTGAATAGTCGCCTTTGCACCGTTCGGCTATCCAACTCCATCAAGTTCAGTGATACTGGCTATAGAAAACGGTGCCTGTCGACGTATGTCCCAACGGACTGCAGGTCTGACGCTGAGGATATTTTCTATTGAAATTTGTCCAGGTTTACTAGTTCAAGCAAGAAGCACTGAAATTGTGATTCTTTCGGGCGATAACAATGCCCAAGTCTGGAGTCTGAGTTTCGCTGAATCGCGTTTGGAGGGTCGATTCGCAGTCGACGATCGTCACACAGATCACAGGGAGCGGCTCTTCCATCTGTAAGCTTTCTGGCAAGCAGAAATTCTCAGAACAAATACTCCCATCACGTAACCTGGTGGTTACCAAGTGCAAATCAACCGTGGATCAAGTTGGATAGGTGACCATCAGCCACCGGTGGAGAGCCACTATTCAATACTGCTATCCCCTTTCGGTACACAACTTGATTCCGATCACGCCATGGTGCCAGTACGCCTGACAGTTCGTTTCCATTTAGGCCCTCGCAAGTCAACAATAAGCATGCCAATCCACCATCTTCGGAGAACTACCACGGCTCAGCAGTATCGATCTCAGCTAGCTAAGCTACTCTTTACGGTAAACCAACACTACTGGTAGCGAGCACGTGAATGAATCATGGGAAAATGCCGAAGGGACTATGTTAGCGGCGTTCAGTGCTGTCTGTCCGACGTCTCCGATATGATCAAAGATGACCACTGGATATCGTCGAGATGGCTAGCAATGGTTGATCCCAGGAAATCCATATCAGCAGACAATAGGTACAACGGAACATGCAACTCTCTCAAGCGCCAAATAATCAACGGCCTAAGGAGCTTAGGTGCATAACGAAAGCTCTGGAAATGGGGAAGGTTTTTGTCGCCGGAAACAGCCATGTTCTATACGACTGGGTGGCTAAAAGAACGCAACAGTCAGTGAGATGTCGAGGGGAAAAGACCGGTTGGTAATTTATTCGCAAAAATGCCGACTGTAAAGATGGACCGAATAATTCCAAGAACAGGTTAGCTGGCCTCCTTGAAACTGCCCCCGAAGGTAGTGCGTGTGGGAATAGAATTCAAAACCTAATTGTCTATCCAAAGAAATAAAATGAGAAATATCCTTGCTGAAACATGAGGAAGCAGCGAGATAGGGTGGTGTGCATCCAGCCATCTTCAAAGAGGACGCGGAATCCCTAGTTACCGATTTGACGAAACCCACTGCAGAATGGGGCGCATCTCAGTCAATTCTGTCTTCAAAAGGGTGCCCGAACACTGTAAAAACCACCGGGGCATTAGCCTGGTGTCTATGGCATCGAAGGCACCCTCTGACAGTATGCTTTGAAGGTTAACTGAACACTCCAACAGGCAGATCCTTGACAGCCAAACTGGGTCCCGTCTTGCAAGATGATGAATCAATCATATTTTCACCCTCTGACAGATTCCAGGACAGTGACACTGCTTCCTTGGCTAAAAAATTGCGTTCGACTTTGTGGACCGTCAGGCACTATGGCAGTGTCTGTGGAGCGAAGACGCCACCATAAATTCTTGACCCCCCTTACCTCGTACACAAACTCTCGTGGAGCTGCGACGGCCTACGGGAAGCTCGCGCCTGAGTTCAGTATAACAATTGGCATCAGACAGGGCCATCCTCTTTCACCTTTCTTCCTCAGCTTTATCATTCATATCATTCAGCTGTAACACCCTTCCGGTGCCCAGCTGCCATGGCGCCCAAAAGAAGCACGAGGGCACAGATATTGCCGGGCTGCCAAAGCCTAGACAGCCTAGCTGGGTTTGAACTACAGACAATCCGGTCAGTAAGTTCGCGCCGTAATCACTGAGCTACCTCACGCTCATCATTGATATGGTCAGACTTTAATGCCCGTGGGGTCAAAGTGTTCTAGGGGCGTTCGCCACCGTCCGTCACGATGAGACCGCAACTCAGCGCGGTATGACGGTATGTGCACCTTGATAACCCACTGAGCTATATTGACAATGCGTGTGACCGGCTCTCTGTGACACTCACACAGCCTCTCATACCAGGTTGACGAATGGTTAGAGGTCTGGCTAATAGTCTACTGGTCCTCCAGGTTGGAGGTTGGAACATGTGTGACGATCTGCGTCTCTATAATGTGGACTCCTCTTAGGGTAATACGCCAATCACCGCTGTCTTGTGGTTGTACATATGAGCTAAATGCCTTAGCTGAGAACCCTAACCCTCCTGTCTAGGACCGGCCACGTGGCAGTATCCCAACCCAGGTGAGAACATGAACTGCACACTTACAAATAATCTCACGTCATATCGGCCGTCACGTGGTGCCACCAGCCGGGTCGCCTCACTTGCGACGTGCGGAGTGCGGCAGGGCGAGTTACAGAAAGCAGGTTATTGGTGACGTCTCCCTACCTCTTCTTTCACATATTAGCTCTTCTCTTCACCCGGTTTCTAGTGACACCTCCATAGACACATTCTTACGAATTGACAGACCCGTTTGTCGCTCACTGACTGATGCTAGCTGCCGTCACGTGGACCAGCCGGGTCGCCTCACTTGCGACGTGCGGAGTGCGGCAGGGCGAGTTACAGAAAGCAGGTTATTGGTGACGTCTCCCTACCTCTTCTTTCACATATTAGCTCTTCTCTTCACCCGGTTTCTAGTGACACCTCCATAGACACATTCTTACGAATTGACAGACTCGTTTGTCGCTCACTGACTGATGCTAGCTGCATTATCTATAGTTAATTCGGCCGCCACGAACAGCCACTTAAAAATCATTCTTCAAACCCAGTCACTCAGTCCACCTGGCAGTCTTTAACGTTCGCAATCCGAAACAAGCTGCATAGCACATTGCTGTTGCATGTTCGCCCTGAAACGACGACCCGAGACTCAGATACGGTTGTTGAATCGACCTCCCAATCGGTTTCCGATCGCCTCTGACTGGGTACCTCTGATGATCCGAAAGCCGATACTGCTGGTTCTGCTAGAGTTTGTATTGTTCTAAGTCACCGAGCTCAACGATCTCTGGTTGACTGGTTACCTGATGATAGTCGCTTCTTCGCGGTTTGGTTGTCGGGAAAGGATATCCCGTGAACGCGGCGGTAATCACCGCCTGTTCATCGTACCTGCTTACGCCGACATATTTCAGCTCTAATATAGTCAAAGAGTTTTCACAGTCTTATTGGGGCGGGCTAGGGCTCAGATTTGTTGTGATCGCGCAAGTAGGTGGATTTAGCATTGCTGATATTCAAGACATGCGGACAACAGATACTTCTTGGTACAGTTATATGCTTACCACATACTGCTCCTCTGCAGTACTGACTCCTTAAACAACCGAAGCAACCTGGCCACAAGGTGAGCACCGCACGCAAGCCATGGGTGGCGTGGGTTATTTAGTGATTGTTGGTCGTTCTGGAACATTTGTGTGCATCCGGATCAGGCGTGTTGGCCTTTGCTTACCATTG